CATAATTTGAATATCTTTTTATATAACATACTTTTCTAGTCTTTTTCTGTGCAAATGCACTAATTGTTGAGGAAAAATCTAGCTTTCGTGAAATGTCACAGTTGATATAAAGCATGGCGAGCCTATTCAAATGCTCTTGTCCCATAGTTGAACGGTGATAGTTCTTCACCTGCTTCAACACATTGAAGGTGCATTCACCTCAAGCCATTGATGCAGGCAAACTGACAAAAATACGCAATGCAATTGTGATATTAGGAAACACCCCAAAGAGTCCAAGTTCGAGTATTTCTTGAAGCAATTCCTTTGGCTTGCAATCCAATTTAAAGTTTGTGGAATATATTCATTTGAGGAAGATGACCTCGTCACTGAGATCTTTTAAGATTTGTTGTACTGTTGCTGAAATTGTTAAGCTGCAGAAAGTAGATCTTCATTACTCAGTCTGTAGAACTGCCAAAGAAACCCAAAAAGGGTACAAATTAGTCGCAGTGATTCAAATCAACATGTAAGATCTGATTGAATAGAGTCAATGATGACAAGGAAGACATTGACCCTATAATGCTGCTCGGCATTGGATTCAGTAGGTAAGCTGGGATTGGTGGAGAACTCAGATGAAATGCCAATATTCTGTGCTACTAATTTGAACTGAGTCAGGATCGCATCCCATTGTTCACGAATCTGTTGAATGTCATTGATAAGACTTCCAATGTTATCCCTCTCAACATCAAATGTAGCACTGTGTGCTTCAATTACCAGATTAATTTGGTGGATCATTGTAAGTAGCATCATCCACAAAGATGACATCAGAATGCATTCAAATTTGGACATGTGCTTCTGAATAGACTGAAGTTCAGTTCGAGCTTGTGCAGTGAGATTGAGAGATTCAAGCTCATTTAAAGCCTTTCTCACTGAATTCAAATGCTGTGCAACTGGTTGAACACCATCAATCCGTGCAGACCATCTAGTTTTGGACATCCCATGCAGTGAAACAGGAAGATATTGCTTCAGAATTTCCCACCTTTGTGGACTGCTACTGAAGAGATTGTACATTTGCTGAACAGATCCAAAGTACCGTATATACTCAATCATAAGACGGTTTGTTTATAAGCCAACCCCCCCAAGATGGATAAGTAAAAATGGAAAATTTTTATGACCTATAATTCAGGGGTCAGCAAACTTTGGCTCCTGGGCCATGAGGATAAGCCGCTGGTGGGCGAAATGATTTGTTTACCTTGAGCGTCCGCAGGCACAGAGGTAAACCTAAGTAAACAAAGTGTCCCAGCATGCCAGCTGCTTACCCTGATGGGCCGGGACAGCAACTGGTGGGGAAATTTTTGGGGGGGGAGAAGCTAGGGGTCAGGGGAGTAACCCCTGTGACCACCCCCCAAATGACCCCACCCCTAGCCTGGGACCCCCACACTCTCCCCATCCCATCCCTTCCAACCTTATCTGGGGAGGGCCAGGGGAGGATGTCTCTGGCCTGGCTGGAGCTGCTCTGGCAGGCTGGGCAGCACGGCCACAGCCTGCTCCGGCAGGCCAGATCGGGCGGTGTGGCCGCAGCATGTTCCAGCGGGCTGGGCCGGGAGGCACGGCCGCAGCGTGATCTGGCGGGCCGGGCAGCGTGGCTTCAGCCTGCTCTGGGGGGCGGGGCCGAGCGGCACGGCGGCAGCCTGCCAGCCCCAGAGCTGCAGCTGCTTTGGAGGCTGGGGGGAGAGCAGCCTGGCCAGAAGCGGATAGACTCTGGCCCCGCCTCTTCCCTTCTGGCTGTGCTGCCTTTCTTTGCTCCCTTTGTTGGGGGGAGGGGCTGTGTCCCACCTCTCCATCTCTATACCCGTTCATAAGCTGACCCCCTTCTCTGGTGCTTCCCTTTTTTACTAAAAAAATTCGGCTTATGAACGAGTATGTACGGTAAGTAATTGCCTTCTTGCATGATTCAGCACAATCAACACCTACAAGGTTTAGTTTGTGGTTTCCATAGCTGGAGAAAATACAGTTTGAATTATGCTCAAACAGAACTGCTTGTACATCTTTGTACTTCCCAGCCACATTAGATCCATTGTCATAGGCTTGACCAATGCAGACTTGAAAATTTAACTTAAAACCTTCTAGAATTACTAGTACTCGAGCAGCAATTTCTTTTCCAGTTTTTCTTGTGAAATTATCAAACAAAATAAACCTTTCTTCAATTGAAAATTTTGAGCCGTCTACAATCTTAACATATCGAATAATCATAGTATTCTGTTCCTTGTGAGAACAATCTGGAGTGGCATCAACAATGATTGAAAAATACTTGGCATTTAGAATCTCATCAAGAATTGTTGTTTGTACGAATGACCAACATAGCTCAATAAACTCATTTTGTATGCGTGTGGAGCAATAATCGACTTGCATGCACTTTTGACACTCTTGCGATTCTTGAACACATTTAACATGCTCTGATAAAAGTGGGTCATATTTGCTGAGGAGCTCAACTATGCCTAGAAAGTTTACATTTGCACAATCACCAATACGTTGACTGGAACCAAAGAGAGCCAATCCCCACTCAGAAAGAAAAAGGATGACATTCAGGATGTGCTCAAGAAGTTTTTTCCAGTTATTAGTTTCTGTAGAGATTTCAGTTGAGAGTAAATTCTCAACTGAACTTTCAGCTGATGCTGCCCTACTGGCTGATTTCCATGCAAACATAGTTTTCTTTGCGTGACATTGAACTCTCATGTGATGGTATTCGGTCTTTCAACTTCCTCCAACCTCTGTTGATGCTCCATCCTGATTGAGCAGAGAGAACTGATGCATTTGCAGCACTTTTGTTCAAAATGAAGCAGGGTGCACAATACAGAGATTGTTTTTCCATACTCCAGCATAACCAGTCTCTTATGTAGGTCTCACCATTTGAAAGCGTTTTTGTCAGCATCTCGTGGAATGTTACTTGGAATTTCAAAACAACTAGTACTCATGAATTGCTCTTGCTGCGTAAGGTCTACATCTTCCTGTTGCTGTTGAGTTTCTTGATCGTACACAGGATCTTCTGCTGCATCTGTTACTGTTGGCACATCTCCTTCTTGACTACTGTCCTAATTTTCAGGTATTGGAACTGAAATATCACCTGTCGCAGTTGCGGAGTTTTCATTATCTGTAGCATTGTTTGTTGGGTAAGGGGTGTGTTCCAGTGGTTTGAGAAATGAAGTTATTGGCTTTGAGCTCTTAGCTGCTGGTTCACTCAGTTGTTTTCGCCGTCTCTTGCTTCCACTACTTTCAGATCTCCTCTTCATAGTGATCTATCTGGTCAATATGTAGCCTATCCACACTTGAAATATTCTGCTGTAAACATGTACACAAATGCTGAATGGTACGCAAATGCTGAAAAGACTTAAAATGAAGGAATACTAATTAAGAACACAAAATGAAACGGTCAGGTTATTATCCTTATCACTGAATCAAAACTCAAGCATGCAAGGTATAACGTAACAGGCTGAGCTGAAGACAAAGGGATGACATATATATAGTAAACAGAGACACGGATACAGACAGAGGGATAATGTCCAAACATTTCAAATGTGTGTCCTCACGAAAATCACTGTACAAGATTGTTCTCACAAATTTTCACCATGAATCTGGGCCTATAGACTACAAAAGCCTATGATGATGGCCAAGCTACCAAGCTAGGGCTCAACCAACCAACCAGTCACCTCTTTTAGCTACTATATGAAGATAATAATGAGGAATCCTCACACATAAATAATTCCTTAGTCAACTAGATGTAAAACTATAAAGACACTAAAATGTAAGAATTCTCTACCTTTCAACACGCACTTGATCCAGCACCAGCCACTAGTAGTGGTTTGTTTATATAATCAGCTGATCTGAGAGGACATGTTCATCACGGTCTAATTTTGTGCCATCAGAACCGATATATTTTTATTAATATTTATGGACATTTTAAACGCTTTAATATGACAAAACCTGTATCAGTGAACCAAAAAAAAAAAAAAGTATTTTACCAAATAACTTCTCCTATTTGCTTAACGTTGCAGCTCTAAGCTGAGAGAGTGTGTCACATTCTGGTCTGATAGGGATGCGCATAAAAACAAGTTGCGAAACTTATCAAATGCCAAAAAATTAACAAGTGTCTAAATTTGAGGCCCCCTCTGAGCTTGAGGCCCAGGCCGAATGGCACTCCTGGGCCCCCCTCTGATTGGCCCAGCCCCCAGCTGCTTCAAAACTTGAGCAGTGCTGCGAATTCTGTGAACCACCTCACAAGGCCACTCACCCTATTTTGACCCAACTACCTCCGGCACGATGAAGGGGTCACAGGGCCAAACCTGAGCTGCATTGTGACACCCATGCAGCGGGTCTCAAGGCCACTCACTCTATTTTGACCTCCCCCATCAGGACAGAGGGACCAGGGGTCCATTCTTGAGTGCACAGTGGGGTGGCCACCATGGGGCCCCCTACAGCAGCCGACAGGCCTCGCTTAGCGACAGCCTCAAGCCCCGCTACAAGCGTGGGGAGCTGCAGGGAGCGCAGCCCCAGGGAGCCAAACAACAGGGGGTTTTTGCTGCGAGTTAGCCAGTGAAGAGCGGGTCCGATGTGGGCCCCACGTGAAACATTCCGGGGTACGCCTCTGGCCTTCTGCGGCCATTCAACTAACAGGTTTCAAAATGAAGTTAAACCGGCGCAACCCCGCGTGTAGACAAGCCCCGGGGCTCTGGAGGGGTCGCGAGGCTGGAGTCGAGCCTAGGAATGTGGGCGGGACGGTTACACTCTAGCGCGTCACTGCGGCGGTTGCTGATTTGCGCAGTCGCGCCACGCTGCAGAGCCCCGCTCCCGGGAGCGCTGCACTCACAGACACGCCCCTTCCCTCAGCATCACTGGGCCCAAGCACGAGCCCGGCCTACTCTCCCCTCCCCCCTTGAGAGGCGCGTGCGCCCCGCCCCTCATCCCCGGGCTTGGAGTTCTACTAGAAGCGAAGGCGATGGGACTACGTTACCCGGGAAGCCAAGCGGCATGACGTCACCGCGCACAGCCCGTTCCTTGCCCCGGAAGGGTTATTGCCGCCGTGACCCCCCGACCGTCCTTCCTTCTTCCTTTCTGAAGTAGGCACCGGCGGAGGTAGGAGCGAGGTGACGCCGCGGGAGCCGGGTCCATCCGGCCCCATCGGGGGAACCCCGGCCCCGGCGGCCCCGAGCCTTAACTCGGCCCTTCCCTGCGCCCTCGGGGGGGGTGGGGTTTGAACGGGTCGCGAGATCTCGGGCGGTGGGGTTGGGCGGGGGCCATAGGCCGAATCGCAGCCGGCTCCTGGGGCCTCCTCGCCTCGCGCCCGGTTCTCGGCCCGGCCCCCGAGGCGGGAAGGGCCAGCGCGGCGCTGGGGGGCGGCGGCGGCGGTTGGGGGCGGGTGGGTCGCGCGCACGGAGTCTCCAGTTTGTCGCGAGCCGGCTCCGTTCTCCCCTCAGCGCACCATGGGCCGCGTGATCCGGGGGCAGCGGAAGGGCGCCGGGTCTGTGTTCCGAGCCCACGTGAAGCACCGGAAGGGCCCCGCTAAGCTGAGGGCGATCGACTTCGCCGAGAGACACGGCTACATCAAGGGCATCGTAAAGGTGGGTCGGGGGCCTGGGCCCCGCTGCGGGCAGCGCCTCCCTCCGTGTCAGCCCCGGAGTCCGAGCAGGGCCGTGACTTGCTCGAGGTGGATTGATTTAAACTCGGTTTTAATCGCTAGTCAAGTCAGCAAGTTGCGGCCTAGTGCCGTTACTGTAATGCCGTTTTGTTTGGTCTGTTTGTAAAGCCCGTCCTTCGCAGCGGCCGAGAGAACCGTTAAAACGTGATTTGCAACTAAACATAAACATAACCGTCAGTACGATTTCCAGGGCAGCTAAGGCCAAACCTTCCTGGGAGCTCCTCTCATAGCATTGGAGAAGTAGCCGCTTTTTTCCAGGCTTTGAAACGCCAGCTTCATAAACTCTAAATTTTAAGAACAGAATTGTCATTCACTCCTGTTTTTGGATAAATTAGAGGAGGGAAATAAAGCGCTTATACACTTTCAATTCCCAGTCCCAACTTTGAACTAGTGGCAAATAGAGAATATTTTCTTCATCTAACTGAACAAACCAAAAGCAATTAAGGGAAAAACTTAAATGCACAACAAAGTACTTGCAGGTGGACGTCTGTAAATACCAGCATTCCCTCCCTTGTAAAGAATGAAAATATAGATATTTAATATGGTACCTGATGTTGACCTACTTATAAAACCTAAGTTGATATCAAAGTTAAAGATGAATTTGTCCCTGATTCTGTATAATTAAAGCTGTACCCCTTTAGTGTTCAAATTTGAGGGTTCATCAATGTAACATCTACACATTTTTTTAATCTACGCTGGCCCAGTGTCTCCCAGTAGGATGGTGCCAGAGCTGGAAGTAGAACCCACATTTGACTCCCAAGGGAACGTCTACACTTATGCTGGTGTAGTGCTTCAGCGTAGCCACTACAGGGATAGGTGGATGAAAGAATACTTCCATTGACCTAGTGCAGCCTACACAAGGAGTTAGGTTGCTTTAATGACATTGCTCATGGGGTATGGATTTTTTCACACCCCTTAGTGATATAGCTGGGTCAATCTAATTTTCTAGTGTATACGAGCATAGTCATGCTGCCTCCCACACACTAGCTGACTTTTTTTTTTACAATGAATTTCTCTAAGCTTCTTAGGAAAAAATACCACTTTTAGTTTGACACTTCAGATGGTTGTCATGTGAGAAGGGAGTTAGTCTGAAATCAATTTGAAAGCCTTTTAGAGGAATAGAACTTGTTAGGTGACACTGATTGCTGCTCAGAGGATGTGTCTGAACATCAAACAATCTAATTTTAGAATGGGTGCAACAAATTAGTGTGATACTGTTGGAGGAAAGGAGGGGCAGTCTAACAGTAGCAAACATACATCTACAAAAGCTAAATAAATTTGGAATTTAGCAGTTCTGAAACCCTAATAGAAGTGGGTTGTGAGGAGTTACGTGGAGAGCAGTTGGAGAAGTTTCTCTCTTTTTAAATGGTTCTCAAAATAGCTTTTTGGTAGGTCGCAATTAAAATATGCATAAGCATCTTATTAGTGTTAGTGAAAGCCAAATGTCTAACTTTGGAAGGTCTGCAGGCATTAAATAAGGGCACTAAGTGCAATTAGCATGAAGTTTATTTAACTGAGAACCGTTACAGCTAGGTTTTTGATTTGGCCATGTTGCAGAGGTGAACTTGATCTTAACTTAGAGTGATGGTTAAGTGAAAGACTGGGAGTGCATTTAAGTAAAGATTGGTACCATACTAACTTTTTGGAGGAGTTAGAATAATGTTAAACTACTTGTCTTAAGAGCTTGTTAGGTTTATAAACCTATTTGCTACAAGCTTATGCATTTATCACTAATCTGAATAAATGATGACATAGCTGTTTCTAAATATGCTTTTTATCACATCAGGATATCATTCATGATCCTGGCCGAGGTGCTCCCCTTGCCAAGGTTGCATTTCGTGATCCATACAGGTTTAAGAAAAGAACAGAGTTGTTCATTGCAGCTGAAGGTATTCATACTGGCCAATTTGTTTACTGTGGCAAGAAAGGTGAGTTAAGATTGCAGCTGGTCATGTTTAAGTGGCCTCCAGAGGCTTGTAGTTTAGACCAGTGGTTCTCAACCAGGGGTATATGTACCTCAGGGGGTATGCAGAGGTCTTCCAAGGAGTACATCTCTACTCATTTAGATATTTGCCTAGTTTTACAACAGGCTACATAAAAAGCACCAGCGAAGTCAGTACTAACTAACATTTCATATAGACAATGATTTTTTTTATACTGCTCTATATACTATACACTGAAATGTAAGTACAATATTTATATTCCAATTGGTGTTTTATAATTATATACAGTAGTAAAAATGAGAATAAGCAATTTTTCAGTGACAGTTATATTTTTATGCCTGATTGTGTAAGCGAGTAGTTTAAGTGAGGGGTAACTTGGGGGTATACAACTTGGGGGTATACAAGACAAATCAGACTCCTGAATAGGATACAATAGTCTGGAAAGGTTTAGAACCACTGGATTAGACTCATGATGCAATCTGACCTGCATGTCTGTCTTCCTGAGAATTTTACTGCATGTCCTGATAAACCCTAAATTTTCTAAAAGTAATGTTTAACGCACCGGCCTTCACTAGCTGTTTACAAACTACTGTTTTTATATGGAGCTGGAAACATTTCACCATCCAACAAATTTTGGATTGTGTAACTAACTACAAATTTATAATAAGCCAATACAAGATGCATTTGTTTTGTCCAGGCCTTTGACAAACTGTTCCTTAGAATCCCTTACATTTGACTGACTAGTTGCTCTAAAGTCACTCTGTTGTTGAAGGGGATGGGGGAGAGGAGAAGTGTACCCAGATAGCACCATGTTAGTTGCCATATAAATGCTCTAGTGATGTGTCAAAGATCTTCTATATTTCTGATTTGAGTCTGTTAATTGTACATGAAGATAGCTAGACATATTTCTGGATTTTTGAAGATTAGTTACGGTTCAAAAATTCCCTCTGGGGCATCTGGCATTGGCCACTGTCAGAAGACAGGATACTGGGCTTGATGGATCTTTGGTCTGACCTAGTATGGCCGTTATGATGTGCATCTACAGATAACTAAATTGATCTATTTTTTCAGCTCAGCTTAACATCGGAAATGTCCTACCTGTTGGCACTATGCCAGAAGGAACCATTGTCTGTTGCCTTGAAGAGAAGCCTGGTGACCGTGGTAAATTGGCCCGTGCTTCTGGAAACTATGCCACAGTTATCTCCCACAATCCTGAAACCAAGAAAACCAGAGTGAAGTTGCCTTCTGGTTCCAAGAAGGTGATCTCTTCTGCAAACAGAGCTGTTGTTGGTAAGTCACAAGTGACAGCGGTCAATTTGTGTATTGTATCTTAATGGTGTCCAAACTGTAGTGAAAGGTGTGGTAGCAAATAGGCTCATTTCTTAATACCTCAAACACTGGTGATCTAGGGTGTGGTGTGCTTTGTGGACTTACAACTTGAGCTTTGCGTCTTTGAAAGCTAACTACACACTTGGACCCAAAATCGCCTAATGTGATATAGGTGTATGTGTGACTAAATTCAGTGTGTACATGGGAGTTTAACATACTTTAATGTGGGTCTTACTGTACAAGTTGTTTGTATTATCATAAAGCCTAGAATCCCCACTATGCGAGGCATTATACAAAAGACATTCTCAGCCCCCAAAGAACTTACTGATTAAATATATGGGATAACATGTTGAGTTAGTGGGAACTGATGGTGTTGGATTTAAGATGTGTGTAGGCTTGGAAATAGAGTTCAAAAGTAGATGGTGATAAACTCCAGTTCCAGGGAGGTGGTATAACATGTGTGCAGAGAGCTGATCAGTTTATGAAAGGATGCAATTCTGCTACCCTTGCTTAGGAGACTTACAAGGAAAACTTCAGTTCTGTAGGAAACAGTATTGGTGTTCAAGAGGTGGCATGCATGCTTCCTTTTGAGTCAGTCTAAAGCCAGAGCCCCATCAGGGGGGTGGAGGTACTGCTATTGCAGGTGCTCTGTATTAGATGACATACACAGCAGATCCTGACCATATGATTACTAAATCTTGTGGTACTACTTGCAGAAGTTGGGATGGCTGCTGGGGTGTCCAGTCTAAAAGCTGAATTGAGTTAAAGCACTGTTTCTTAACCTGGGAGTCATGGGATGGGTTTAGGGAGTGGCAAGCAGGACAATTGCCTGGGGCATTGCAAAGCTAAGGCCTTGGCTACACTGGCAATTCACAGCGCTGCACTTGCTGCGCTCAGGGGTGTGAAAAAACACCCCCCCAAGCGCAGCGAGTGCAGCGCTGTAAAGTGCCACTAATCAGCGCCTGCAGCGCTGCACGCTCCCTCGCAGCGCTGCAAGCTATTCCCCTCAGAGGTGGAGTACTTGCAGCGCTGCGAGAGAGCTCTCGCAGTGCTGGCGGCGCGACTACACTCGTGCTTCACATGAGGATACAGTATTACTTGTCCTAAACTTTTTTTAAAAACCCAACATATCACATTTATTAGCAGCTTAACTTAAAATAATTAAAGAAAAACACACTAATTATTTCCCCATTAAACCCTTCCTGTTTTGTAAAATAGCAAATATTATTTGCTATTCTACATTTTCATCAACATGTGGAACTTGCTCTTTCTACATTTATCATGTTTTAGCATTTTAAAATGTCAGGCCAAATCCTGTAGTTTTTACTCAGCCAAAATTCCCATATCTTAGCTGAGTAAGAACTGAAGGATTTTAAAGAGACACTTAAAAATATATACAGTACAATAGAACATATAAAGGACAAACATTGGCCAGCTCCTTTTCCTATTGACATCAATTGCAAAAGTCAGATTCTCCTTTATGAGAGCATGATTGGGCCCTTATGCAGTATACTGAAAATACATTTCACTGTAAAATTCCAAGATTATCATTCTGTTTCACTCTGTAGCCTAGAATGTCCGTAGAGTCAGCTACTCAACTTCAGTGGCAGGTGCTGTGTGAAAATAGCAGAAAATTGTTTTTAAAACTTTGATGGTTTAGAATGAAACATGCCATCTTACCAATAACCAGTTTTTGGACTTCAGTAGCAAACTAGTTACTTCCCTGTACATTTCCTCTCTGCTGCAGTTGGGTAGGGTTGCTAATTTTGATTGAACATAGCCTGGAGGCTTCATCACATAATCTTTAATTTCTAGAGACTCCAGGAGAATCCTGGAGTGTTAGTAACCCTACATCTGGGGCACAGGGAGCTTTGACAACCACTGCATTTGTTAACACAAACACTGGTGGTATAGAATAAGGTCAGAAGCAATATAAAGAGACAGAATATGCAAATTATACAGGTTACTATAATTTTCATATGTAATGAATTAACTCTTAAGAAGCTGTTGCCAGAGTGCCAAGTCCAAGTTATGATGTGTTGAAGCTAAAACCCAGTAGACCGTAACTATTTCTCCTGATCTTTCAATGTGATGATTTGTGTTCTAACTGAAAGGTTGTCACATCTCATTGCTCCACTCAGCTGTGGAGGCATGGTACAAGCAATTCTGGGAAGTATAACCAATGATCTAGTATTCAGGACCATCTTATGTAATCTAGTCTCACTATTAAAAGGAGAAACGTTAGCAATTAAATAGAGATTGAAATTAAGAACTCTTCCTTTGCAGCCCACCTTCAATGTATACAGATACTAGAATGCCTGTTTGCAAGAACGTAGTTTCACACTATCTAACCTTCATGAAGCAATTCATACTCAATTTTGTCCTGGCTGCGAAATGCTTGTGTGGACACTTGTATATTTGACACTCACTTTTATAGATTAACTAGCTAGACAAGATTTCTAAACAGTTTAAAATCTGAAAATAGCAGTTCATTTTTTCCTTTCCTCCTTACTTCCCCTTAAATATCCCATCACTAACACAGCCATTTGCTAATCATTTTAGCCACAGACTTCACTGCATGAGTCAAAGCTTACAAAATATATGTGATGACCATAAAAGCTTAACACCCAACAAATTATTTTGTATTTTTAATTGAATTTCAGGTATTGTTGCTGGTGGAGGTCGTATTGACAAGCCTATCCTAAAGGCAGGTCGTGCCTATCACAAATACAAGGCAAAGCGAAATTGTTGGCCACGTGTCCGTGGTGTGGCTATGAATGTAAGTGTCTCAGCTTTCAAATGTCTGTCCTTCCATAGTTCACGCAAGGGCTTAACAGTTGTCATTCAGGATTCAATGATACTTTTGGCAAGAGCTGTTGAGTTGAGGCTATATAAACTGCCTAGAAAATGCACATATTGCTCTGCAGTTGTGAATATCTGCTTTAGTGCATGTGTGGTAAAATTATTCCTTTATATAAAGTAATGAGAGAATGTACAAGTTTTATTGCACACTTACCTTGATTTGTGTTTTAAGTTTAATTTATTTAACTTGGAACGTCCTTTTCTGTCTACATTTTTGACCTTGGTGACTTTCTTTATAGCCTGTAGAACATCCCTTTGGTGGTGGTAACCATCAGCATATTGGTAAGCCTTCAACCATCAGGAGAGATGCTCCAGCTGGTCGCAAAGTCGGTCTCATTGCTGCCCGTCGTACTGGTAGACTGCGTGGAACCAAGACCGTGCAGGAGAAGGAGAACTAATGTCTTTCAATACAGTTTACACAATAAAAGGCTTAAACCCCCCCCCCCCATACCTGTCTTGTGTAAACTTTATGAAGGAGTGATACCAGCTTCTTCAGACTCTATTAGCGAGGAAACTTTTGTAGTGTAAGGGTGGATTATAGAACTCTTGCCTTCATTGAAGGCATAAATGGGCCTTTAGTCGCAATCAAATAGTCTGAGACTAGGAATAAGTTTTAGAAACTGTTCAGATCAGATTCACTAAGGGATGAAGATGAGATTGAAGTTATCACCTAGTGTTAAGTGGGAGGTGGTAATGTAGTATGGTGGATGACCAAGTGAAGCCCTTGGAGAGGAAGGGGTGGCCTCTAGAGGAAGACATGAGTAAAGTGTGGATTAATAGGTGATGGTTCTCTTTCACACAAGCACTCAGAAGTTCTCTGTGGAGGAGAGTCTTCTTCAGGCACTATGTTCTAACTGAGAAGTATATTCAAGTAGTTTAAGGATGGCTTATGCACTAGACAATTTGAAGTAAACTTTGCAAAAGGGGAAGGTCAGGAAAGTCTATTTTGAAATCTTACCCCTGGCTTATAAAAACAGCATCTGCCCTATCTACAAAACAATGTCCTAGCTACAATTATATTTAGTGCTAGTACGCAGTAAGCAAGCTGCGATAATAAAGCCTTTTGTTAGGGAAGTTTAGTGACTAACCAGTACTACCTCATGATTGTCTGTCAATATATTAACTCCACACAGGTGAGTACCTGCTTGTCAAACTACACCAGAGCCTCCCTCATACACTCAGCGTTATGCATTAACATTACAATTTTTTGGAAAGGCAGCTAGCATGATGTTCTTCTTGAGAATACCTTACACTTCCCTCCCTGTAAAGAAAAGGGCGGCAGTTGCTGCCGCTAGGAGCCATGCTTGATCTTTGGGTGGGTAGGACAAAGGCAATAAGATGATTGCTCTCTCTGGGAACGTATAAGCTGTTGCATGAATCATGCACATACTATTTAGCTGGAAAAAAATTTCAGATGCTTGTGAACAAGTCCTATACCTTCTAACATTAGCCAAGGAGCTGCTGGGAAAAAAAAAAAAAGGTACTCTGCAGGCAGGACCTCTGCTAGGCATTACCTAAATCCCCACCTCTTCCATCAAGCAAGCATGGGGTGTGAAGCACTGAAAGAGCGCTCTCAATCAACTGATGTACAACTTACCCTCCACATTGCATTGGCAGGGCATAAGGCCTTTAATCTATAGCCAGCTGCAAGGTTAAATGCCTCTTATCAGAATTGGATACATTATATACATGTTAACTGTCTTCAGGAGGAGAGTGTCCTTGAAATCACATCAGCTGGTACAAGTCAAGGAAAGTCCTTGGTCAGCTGAACACAATTGAGAAATCAGCCCATTTTTCTGTATTTGCTGGGGCATATGCTTGCCAGTCGTAGTGAAGTCCATTGCTGGCACAGAATTCAAAGAGGAGTTCTGACCTCACTCTCTCACCCCATGAGTTATACAACATGCACATGGTTGTGTATGCTGGTTTATTTTTTGAAAAGGTAACAATACAGCTATGTTAGGGCTAGAGACCCAAAGAAAATAAGCAGTATGGTTTGTAAGAACTAAACTCATTTCAAACAATCACGTGATGCTACGTGTAGCATTTTTGGTGATGTAACAAGAAGTGCTGTTATCAAACCTCACATGAATTCAAATACACATTCAATTATTTAGCACTATACACTTTGGAATATAACTCTTCAAGAGGAATAGCAGGTTAAGGAGAGCAGCAACCACTGTTCTTTAAGGCCCATCTACATTTATTATGGTTTAATCCACTTTATACCAGCGTTCAATGTGCTGAACCACCAGTGGAGAGTGTTGTTAAAAATCAGAGTAATTTCCACAATACCTCACTTCAAAAATGTCTAAACCCCACAGCTTCAAACATGGGAAAGGCACTTTCTTCTGAACACTAACGCAAAGTTTAAAATATCAAAAAAAGCAAAACACAAAAACCTAATTGCCCCTCCTCCAGCTACCACTGAGCAAACAGGTACAAGTTTCAGACCATAATCTCAGTTATAAGAGCTAGCCTTCCCCCTGCCCCCCATGGTGGGTACCTCTAATTTGGTGTAAATTAAATACAAAGAAAATGTTAGCTTTCATTAAGGAATTAATGGGGAGGAGGTAAATTTCTAGCCCACTCCCTTAGAAATGTAAACTGATCAATACAAAAGTATCGCAGTGATCAGACCTAGACTTTTTTTTTTTTTTTAAGCACCCGCAGTACAGGGAGACAGTCTGTGCCTTACAGAATCTGAATCCTTCCCACGGTCAAACCATCACTAAGAGCACAAACAAGGCTCTACCACTCCTGTCTATCCTGGGCCACTCTGCATGTCCTTTAGATTAAATTCCCATTTAAAAATCATCTCCCCCAACTGCTAAAGGCAGCTTACTGCACAGTGGTGCAATCACACTAGAACAGTACTCAAACTTTTGTGCTGGTGACCCCTTTCACAGCAAGCCTCTGAGTGCGACCCCCTTATAAATTAAAAATACTTGTTTATATATTAAACATTATAAATGCTGGAAGCAAAGTGGGGTTTAGGATGGAAGCTAACAACTTGTGACCCCCCCCATGTAATAACCTCGGGACCCCCTGAGGGGTCCCAACCCCCAGTTTGAAAACCCCTGACCTAGACAGAAGTCTGTTACATTTGCAGGGATGAGGAAGGAAGAAAGGAAAGAAATACCGTTTCATAGGTTTATCTAGAAGTTAAGGCCAGCTCTGGTTGTAAGTGCCTGAAAGGTGCATTTATAATGGAAGTGCTATTTGATAACAGCCTCGGGTTTGACCTATCTAAAACAACTTTGGCTTAAGTTGTATTGTAGAGCAAATTTTTGGGAAAAATTATATACAAAGCAATTTAATTGGCCAGTCTTGTTGTGTATTGTCCATTATTATTGCAGCTAGGTGGAGTGACAGTTTGTCCTCTCACATGCCAGCCACTCCTGCCATGAAATCAGAATCCATTACATTCTCTTGCTCTGGATATAAATCCAGCATTATGGCATCAAACCTAGAACAGGAAGAGGAAAAATGATTCAAATGTTTGAGCTTAAATTCCTAACAAAGAGAAGAACCAAGGTAAGTACAATTACACGTTCAGTCTAATCCATTTGAAACTTTTCTCGTGCATGAAAGTTGCTCTTTAAGGCTAGTTGATGCAAAAGAACGTCAAAACCAATTTGCATTAACTGTATTGTAAGGATCCACTAACCTACAGGCTTAGCACAACAGCAGCAAAAAACAGTACCACACTATATTGCTGAAGGCAGCTGCAAACCTATTTCATGTAAATATACAGGATGCAATGCTACATTTCATTCTAAATTCACACATTCAGAAGAGGATTTTTGAAGACTTAAGTCCGTTCACTCTGCACCAAACTTATCAAGAACAAACACCCTTTTAATGCATAACTAAACTAAAGGCTGTATTGTAGTAACTGATGCAGCTTCCAGTTTGTAAGTAAACATACCTTCCTTTAATTTATGTAGAGCATCCCTGAATATAAAGAGTAAGTTTTAAACACTCATTTGGAAAGACCTTATTTATATGTATAAAAATCCTTTAAGTCAGGTTGGACACAGATTTCAAAAGTAAGTCCCTATCTAGTAGTAAAGGACCAGCCACTTATTACAGATGAACTAGAAGAGGGACAGGTTGAGATTTCAGAAAAATAATGATGTGATAAAATTTAATAAAAATAGACCTAGGGACAAAAATAAGAACTAGACATGCCTACGTACCGACACAAAAATAGGGAAATGGTTCCTGACATAACAGGCATTCTTGCAACATGGTGGAAGGACAAAATCAGTGGGACACTGATACCTGGAGACAATTGCACAGGAAATACAGACTAAATCATAGACATGGAGGAGCAGTGCTATGGTTAGAAAATTCCATAGACTCCAACAAGGTAATGATGGGGAAGACCATACTGTAGAATGTGTATGGATGCAAATTCCAGGTCACAGGAATACCAGTAGGGTCATACCAGCAGTCTCCAGGTCATGAAAAGGACATTGAGATTCTGATCCAAAGCCGAATGAAGTCAATGGTACTTCATTCCCATTGACTTCATTCAGCTTTGGATCACGACAAGAGTATACAATATAGAGGGAGATCAAAAGGGCAAGTAAGTCTAGTAAAACAGTAATATGGGTGATTTCAACTACTGCACATAAACTGATCAAATGGCACAACAGGACAACTTACACAATCCCTTCTTGGAAAAACTAATTCTAAAGCACACAAGAGGAAGGGCTCTTTTCAATATAGTCTTAAGTAACACACTATTTAGATCAAGAATAACTCAGCTACTACGTGACCAACGCATAGTTAAGTTCAACATTCTCGTGGCGGAATCATACCAAAAACTAGCATAACAACTGTAAACGTAGAATGAGAGGTTTAAATTAAAAACGAGGAAGCTAAATCAAAAGGTCCTAAAGAAAGAACATTACAATCTTTGATTGAGCACAATCTGACACCACTAAATAAATATAGAAGCAGGAAGGTGGGTGGCTGGGTGGGGGAGTCAAGTTATATGGCCTGGGTTAAGGGTTCCTTTTAAACTGACCAGTTATCATTCAAAAATGGAAATTCAGCCCAAGTGATAACAGACAGAAAAGAGCATAAATTATGGCAGTTAAAATGTAATGGAAATTAGGAAGGCTAAGAATGAATTTGAAATGCAAATAGCCAAAGATGTACAAATAAATTCTTTAAGTATTTCAGAAGCAAGACGCCTACACGAGAATCCGTGAGTTCACTAGTCTACCAGGGAGTAAAGGGAGAAGTTAAATAGAATAAGGACTTCACAGAAAAGCAATACACCATTCTTCCCCACACTGGATGCTGGGCTGATACTCAACTCAGACCTACCCCTTTCAGGTAAAGATGATGAAGCACTGTCAGATTGCGGTGTCAAAACAGATGGTGCTAGAGCAAATAGATGCATTAGAGAGCAACTGGTC